GAGAGAGGGGGGGGGGAGAGATTTTGAGGTAAATCTTGATCTCAAATTACAAAACTACAGCGAAGGATGATCAGGATCAGGATTCTGACTTGTTTCGGAATTACTTGGTTGGGAATTCCTGCTCCACAGTTGGTCCACTATACCCATTTTAAAAAATCCTTTTAATCAAAAGCAAACATTTTTTCTCGACGAGATATTGAGAAAGCAGTCACGTTCACATTGATGGTTTTCTTTTTTCAGACCAACTCGTTATTCACTTCCCGTTCAATGACTGGAGACGAGCGTCAAACAGCTCGAATGAAAAGGCGTATTTCGAGAGTTGAAATATTGCATGAAATCAAGGCATGAGCCGTTCCTGAAAGCGCACATTATACACGCATGGACATACACACACATAGAGAGACACACACACACATTCACACCCCCCCTCTCTCTCTCTTTTCGCACGACGCCCACACACGTCATATCACTGTTTTAGTCATTTGACATTCGTTTGAACCCCCCCCTCTCTCTCTCTCTCTCTGTCTGTCTGTCTATCTGTCTGTCTGTCTGTCTCTCTCTCTCTCTGCGCAAGGGGGAGGTGTGCCTCTCTTCCCACACTTTTCTCTTTATTCTTCTCCCACTTCATCTTCTATTTATTTGCTCAGATCATTTGAATGTTTGCTGAGACAGTTGCTCTCCCCCCTCCCCCTCTCGCTCTCCCCTCTCTCTCTCCCTCCCTCTCGTTCTTTCTCTCTCTCTCTCCCCCTCCCCCCTCTCTCTGCAGTCTCTCCCTCCCTCTCGTTCTTCCTCTCTCTCCCCCCTGCAATCTATCTGATCAGCCTCTAGTGACGCACACTGTTCAAGCATGTCAAGGCCACGAGAAACATTTTCAACTACTTTCTCCTGTAATTACCAGGCACTGCGGCCAGGGACCAGCTAGGTCGATGGCGGGCCGGGGATCGGCACGTCTGCCTACGTCACAGAGCCATGACTTCGCTCCACGATTACAACTCACGAGTGTGGAGAAAAAAGAAGACTTCGTTTCAAACCAATCTAGTGGTGTCTTAAATAATACCAGACTTTACTGCCAGTAG